GAATTTAAAAAATAAAAAAAAAAAAAAAAAAAAAAAAAAAAAAATTCACCATACAGGCGGCTGCATGATAAACAGAAACTCAGCCTTTTCAGAATGTGAAGTCAGCCGCTAATGGTTTGTTGATACAGTCTACCCCCACCACGATTACCCCGTTGTGGTAAGACAATAAAGTCAGCAGTCCCAAGGCAGGGTGTGAAGTGAGGAGGAGAATAGGGCAGGGTGTTGCGTGAGATGGCTTGGTAAACTCTTTGCACAAAAGGTCACCTGACAGGCAAGAAGCCTGTGCGCATCTGTTTGAGACCTTGGGGAGGGAAGTAGAATCCCAAAGTGGGTGGGGGGAGAGACAGAGAAAAGGAGGGGGAGGGAATGCTGAGTGTGTCTATGACTGACATCTGTCAAGATACAACGCACACACTAAAGGCCACACAAAGTCAAAGGCACTGTGGAGGACCAGTGTTTAGTTAGAGGGAGCGCAGAGCATTGGGAAAACCACCCCTGAGAAGTGAGTTTCTGTTTGCCTATGGTACGGTTCAGACCTCCTATCCTGTATCCAGATATACGGTATCTACACTCTGTCAACATCCAGCTGAGGCAGGTTATAGTTCACACCTGGCGTCAGAATCAGTGACCACTTGGCATTGGATTTCTCTACCCTAATGACTTTTGATTTTATTTGTAGAGAAACTGCAACTGCTGCTGAGCAAGAAAATGTGTATATGGCCTCGGCCATTCAGCCAGAGGAGAAGACTGCTAGTTGGTACTTTTATACCTTGTCAGAGGGACACAATTGTGCGTATATGAATGGATTTGGAGAGCTGTCACAGTTGGGACAGTATGTAAACTCAAAATTGAGAGAGAAAGTGATAGAAAAGGAGAGTAGGCTTGATTACCCCTATAATGACTAGTGTGGATTATTCAAAACCACCAAGATGAAATTCATGTACTCCTACTGAGCTCCCAACACCACATGGCAGGCTTCAAATTAGCCTGTGAGAAAGGCAAGCTTTCTCCCTCATGCTTTTTTTTTCCTCTAGTCAATTTTTGTCACTCCACCTCTCTGAGCCTCAGTCGTTGACTCATAAAGTCAATTAAGACGTTATTCACACAATCCCTTTTAGTCTCACATACAGAGGAACTAAAAATGCATAGAGATCTCCTCCTCTGTAACCAGGCGTGTGATTCATAAGGGGTCTCGGTACATACATACACCACCCACCACTATGTCTTCTTTAAGCAAGAAATTAAAAGGCCACAAACCCACGTAAACACAAGGATCTCATTTGCAGGGAAAATTACAGAGGACATCTAAACTAAACTCATATCTTTGCAGTCAACTTTCTTTTCCCTCAAAAGATAAACAAAAGGAGCCACAGTAAACCTTCAGGTGTGGAATTCCACTCTTCCATCAATTTTCAACAGACATGCTGTTTCTCCGACACTCCAAGAAAAGGAGAGTGAACAGCTTGTGTAGCCGTGAGCCCAGAGCTGTGGAGTGGAACACCTGAAATAGGGCCTGTTTCCTGAGGGAAGAGAGTAGGCGGAGGATGATACAGCATGGCCCGCCTGCCTGCCAGAGGCTAGATTGGCAAGAATGATCGTGTAACAACAAGCCTCTTCCAGACGGACAGAGACTTGAGAGAAACAAGGGGAGGGAGTGAGTAGGAAATTGTGTGTGTGTGTGTGTGTGTAGTGAAGGATTCCCAGAGGTCTCGGCTAGCAGCTCAGCTCCAGTCCAAACATGCCTGTCTGCTCTTAGGAGCACAGCCAAGACAGCCAATGTGGCTGGCTACCATTGACGTCAGGACAAACACCAGATAGAGCCTTCTGGAACATCATAGGCAAACAAAAGAGAGCTTCTATGCTTCTCTTTAAGTCTGCAACCCTCCTCCTCTTCCTCTGTTTCTTTTTCCACCTTGCTCCTCAAAGTGCCCTCCACCAATTCCACTCCTTTACAAAAGCTACTTACAGGCGTGGTTTGTTATGAGAGATGCAAGACAAGGAGAGTGGAGGACCCTACTTTTGTTGTGTTAAGGCAGAGAAAAGCCAGGCCTTCATTGTTCTCCTTCTCATGCAGCAGCAATGGAATGCACAGAGAAGAGGAGTTCATGCCTGAAGAACAAGGTGTGTGTGTGTCCTCACCACCCCTGTGTTCTTTTTACACAGATAGTGGCACCCCAGTATTAGAGAAGTGACATATGACCGTGCATATAATACATGTATCAAAAATGCAAAATAAACTGGTGACGTTGTTGCTTTCAAAACAACTATAGTTGATGAACAGAGTAGGGATGTACTTTTACTCATCCTGTACATTTACAACATGATTTTGGCTCAAAGTTGTTGTGTATAGTGTACAATATGGTAGTCATTATTATGGCCATGGATGGTGTTTTTTTGTGAGCAATAATAAAATTTTAATCCACCAGTGGCATGATGCGGTACAGAAACAACACCTCATCAAAAACTTCCTCCTCCTCAACCCCTCAGTCTCCCTCTCCCTTTCTGAACAGAGGCTGAGGTGGAGTGGTTGTGCCAATTTTCTGCCTCTCATAGCAGAACAAAGGAGGGTCATCTCGAGCCAGCTTGGTAGCTTTTATCCAGAATGGCATGTCGAAAAATTGGGACAGTAGTTCTGTTTTGAACGGGCAGCGTAAAAGGGGATTTAGATAACTGGTAGCCAGGGAAGGAGGGGTGGTGAAAAGATGGAGGAAGTGGGTGGGGGGAGATGGTGTGAGAGAGGGAGGATGCAAAGATGGTGAGGGGGGATGGGGAATGCTGGTGATGGGGGTAGGGTGCCAGAGTGGTGGTGGTGGTGGGTGATGAAATATTCAGTGAGAGTATGCCTCTGGCTCCTTCCCTCTTTTTTTCTTCCGACATCTCTGGCTGACAGTTTTATTTATTGGGGTCCCTGTGGTTCAAGGAACTCATTTGCAGTCGTTCTTCCTTTGCACACTAAGCAAACTAAGGGAGGGTGATAAGGAGTGAGGGAGAAAGAGAGAGGCTGAGAGGCTAAGAGACTGAGGGAGGGTAAGAGAGAGAGAGAGGGATGGAAAGACAGAGTGTGCTAGAAGCACTGAGCTGACATTCATGAACAACTGAGCAGCTTTGTACCGGAGAAAAGAGGATAGAGGATTGGAGGGCGGGACAGGAGGGTGGAGAGAGGGAAGCCATCTCCTCCAGCTATATTTTCCAATGCAGCTGCTCACCTGTCAACCAGTCAGGTGAAAGGTATAATTCAAAAACCTGCTTATTAACCCACCTTTTAACCTAGATGTTTAACAGCACCATAGTCTCCGTGTAGCCACACACAGAATAAAGATGCACTAACAGGCTCTTAAAAGAAAGGGGTGGGGGGAATCAATGATTTGCACCATGCCCCAAATCCTAAAAGCAGCTAGGGGCTTTTCATAGGGCCCATTAGAAAGACAGGTGTCTGTAATACTGCCTGATAAGAAAACAGATCTCAAAAGAGCAAGAGAGGACCAGCTGGCCATCACTGAATTTGATCGGTTGAGTGAAAAGAGAGATCAGAATGGCAAAGTTCAGGGTGTTCAGGTTCCTGCTAAAACCACTACTCACTCTCTAATTGTGCCAACAACTTGTCAGCT